TATATAGACCTATTTAGGCCTATAAATAATCAAAGAAAGTTAATTACAGTGTTAGAATAAAGGACGTATATATATATATATATGTACATATATATATATATATATATATATATATATAATACATATATATAAACCTATATATAGGCCTATAAATCATCAAAGAAAGGTAATTACAGTGTTAGAATAAAGGACATACTCACCATCATCACCACCCGTCACAGAAACTTTGATGTCTACACTGTAGGGCTCAGCTACGTAATTACTTATTATTGTGGCAATGCATTTGTACACGCCTGCGTCATTTTCATTCACTTTGTGAATCTCCAAATATTCATCTTTCATGATGTTGATTCTGTCACTTCTCTGTAGGCTACGGCCATCCAACTTCCATTCATAAATTGTCTTATTCTCAGATTCCACTTTGCAAAAAATTTTTCCAGTTTTTCCGAAGGTGAGAGTTAGATTTTGAAGCATGTTAACGAAAACAGGGCGTTCTAGACGGGATTTCCAAGAAGAATAAACATTAATAGAGCTGTCTATAACGGTGTCATGTTGGCAGCATCACGACTGGATGAACTGTTAACGTTATAATCACTGACTTTCCAAACATACAACATATATAAATCATAATAATATAATACAGGTCTTCCTCCAATAAAAGACCACTTTTGTGACCGGGGCTTTGGTGGTCTTTAGCAGCTTTGGTCTCTAATTAGATTCGTCTAATTGAAGACCGGCACTAAAAGTGGTCTTAAATATCACTATTTAGAGGGAAATTAAGAAATAATATAGTAAATGTAAAATCTTTAATTCCACGTGATTTAGAATGGATTTACAGTTACCATGCTGTTATTGATTCTTAAATCATTTCCTGGTATTCACACATCAAGTCCTGCGCTCGTTCTGATACCTAAATTACCATAACAGTTTTACTAACAATCTACTAAAACTATCAGTATAGGCCTATTCAATAGAGCACTGTATACACAAAGTAACACGATGTTGTGTATTATTTTTATGTGTATATTCATATCATCATCATTATTATCAAAGTAATTATATAATATATGCATTACAATATTGTAATGTATTCTTTTCTTTAAAGGGACAATTTTTAGTTTAGTTGGGTCTGCCAAAACCATATGAGGCATTCAAGTTTGAATGTTCTACTAACACAATCGGCCGGGTATACAATATGGAGCATGTAGGCCTATACACATTTTCACTAAAATCATTATTTTTTTTTAAGTAATCCTTATTTAAAGGGGAAATTTTTCAGTTTTCTGCAAAAAATATCTATGGTTCTCAGTGGGCCTCTATCTACTGACGAGAAAGAACCATTCTTTGTGGTATTAAAAACAGGGCCGTAAAAGCACCGTTCTTTTTGCAGTCCCAACGGTTCTTTAGCACGGAATCAATAGGGGCCTACCGTACCGTGGCGAGTACGTCAAAGAAACAGATCTTCGTAAAAGAACCGTTCTTTGTGGGGTAGTTTTAATCTAGTATAGTCCAGGAAAAAGTCTGAAAAGAGGTCTAGAAATCTATCTATTTATCTATCTATCTATCTATCTATCTATCTATCTATCTATCTATCTATCTATCTATCTATCTATCTATCTATCTATCTATCTATCTATCTATCTATCTATCTATCTATCTATCTATCTATCTGTCTGTCTGTTTGTCTGTCTGTCTGTCTGTCTATCTATCTATCTATCTATCTATCTGTCTGTCTGTCTGTCGGTGTGTCTGTCCGTCCGTCCGTCCGTCGGTGTGTCGGTGTGTCTGTCTGTCTGTCCGTTTGTCCGTCGGTGTGTGGGTCTGTCTGTCCGTCGTTCTGTCTATCTATCTATCTATCTATCTATCTA